CTGCTGCTGATGATGATGATGATGATGATGATGAAGATGATTCCGAATTTGATATTATTTTTAATATATACCGGATGTAGTTCTATATGAACAACTCTCAAACATTTAAAGCACAATTAAAAATAATATGTTTGCTCCCTGGTTCGAGGTAGACAGATATAGTAACTTAATTTATCCAGCAAACAATTTAGATTTTTTTCAAGATAAAAACATTTATGTTGCAATGAGTTCTAGAATCTGTTCTATATGAACCCAAAAAGGGAGTTACGGATATAGCATTCTGAGTTCCCCGCCTATAAGTCATAATGCTAAAAAAAAAGAATTTGATGATGTATTATGCTTGGGTGAATGAGATCTAACTATCTATCTATCTATCTATCTATCTATCTATCTATCTATCTATCTATCTATCTATCTATCTATCTATCTATCTATCTATCTATCTGTCTGTCTATCTATATCATAAGTAAGAAGATAACATACACTAATAAGATATCACATTTTATTTCGAGAGCAAGAGATAATATTATAGCGGGATCAGTGGAAACTCTTATTAGACGGACTTCATTTGCAGACGTCAATTTTTGTTCAATTTTTGTTTTGTTTTGGGTTGGGGTTGGGTTTTTTTGGGGGGGAAGGGGGTATTCTTTTGGTTAGTGTTTTACGGCGCTCGCAACTGCATACGGACATATGAGCACGCGGGACACGTTAAACATTAACACTTGATAGGACATTTTGAATTTTGACAGGGTAGCGGCCGCAGCCTACTCTTATCGATTTTGGACCACCATGGGATCTTTAACGTGCACGGAACCTCCGAGAATTTTCGCTCTTTTCCGAGAAGTCAAGGTGTAGATCTTACTTACCATAACATCAGGAGTATAGCTGAAAGACAGCAATAAGAAGGAGCCAAGGAGAAGCAGTAGAAAGGCTGCAGAAAGAGTCAGGAGCCAAGAGAATGGGGCAAGGGAGGTGAGTGGGTGGGGGCAGAAATAGACGAAAGCAGACGATAGAACATTGTAAGAGAACAGGAAAAGGTGTGAAAAGAGAAAATTTTAGAGAAGAACAATTTCCGTCGCAATGCGGATTCGAACCCGGGACCATTGAATGAGAGGCCAACATCTTAGCCTCTAGACCACGAAAGCCCCCTTCAAATATTTTGATAGTGTACTTGGCTTAATAAGGTTTTTAAGATGCGAGTACTGTGGGTTTTGTTGTTTATGCACTTGTAGCGTTAAAAAACAATAAAATGTCAAATGCCTGCAGCTTCATAGTAGGTCTTCTCGTCATGGCTGATGTACGTAAGGTGCTGATGTTTTGTTTTATAAAGAGGCATACGGTAACACATTATATTTGTAGCCAAATTGTCTTATATCTTTACATTTCCTTTAAAAAATGTAGATTAATTACCATTTTGATGTAATTTCACAGGAGAAAAACACTACGCGTGTTATTCACGTATCTACGTCACCTTGAGGTCGTAATCATAACGTTATGTTTACCTGCATTCTTTTCGCTGTGGCGGGCAAAACTTATGAGTTCGCTGTTCCAGTGTGAAGTTATAATATTTTTTTCGAGTAAATGTGTAAGCCTACATTTTTGCCAGCAAAGGTGTATCCACCCAAATTGGGGTTACGTGGCAGGTGGAAGAAAGTGTGTGTGTGTGTGTGTGTGTGTGTGTGTGTGTGTGTGTGTGTGTGTGTGTGTGTGTGTGTGTGTGTGTGTGTGTGTGTGTGTCTGTGTGTGTGTGTGTGTGTGTGTGTGTGTGTTTGTGGCTCTTTAATTTGGAATTGTGTGTGTGTGTGTGTGTAGAAGAAGAAGAAGAAGAAGAAGATTTTTATCATTGATATTTAGCAGAAGAAGAAGAAGAAAAAGAAGAAGAAGAAGAAGAAGAAGAAGAAGAAGAAGAAGAAGAAGAAGAAGAAGAAGAAGAAGAAGAAGAAGAAGAAGAAGAAGAAGAAGAAGAAGAAGAAAGAAATGAAGAAGAAGGAAAAGGATGAAAAAGAGAGAATATTGGACATGTCGGTATGGACCGTGTTTGAAACGTTGGCGTGAGAGCCGATCGCCGTACTTCTTGGCCAACATCTCCAAAGCTCAGTGTACCGTACATAGGGCTACTATAGAAACATACGGAGTAAAGAAAAAGGATAACAACTTTTTAAACTGGCTTCTCAGATTGGTATAACTACCTCGAAAAGAAGCTTTTACTTTTTATTACAAGAAGGAGGATCGTTTTCTTTGAAAATCAATGAGCTGCCTTTCCCATATTATGTATGTTTTTTCTGTGAATAATACTGTAGCTCAGGGCAGGCAGCGAAGAAGAAAGACTTGTACAGGCAACCAGAGGAGCATTTACTGTAAATAAAAATAAATGACGTTAATCGGCATTGCTGTTGACTTGTTTCTCTGCCTTGGAAGTTTTTTCATTCTTGTCCTGAATTATATCTTCCATTGCAGTCCCTTTTGTCTCAGGCAAAGCCCACACAGCGACGCAACAGACGAGTGCCATGGCACTCATAATTAGGTAAGACACGTACATGGAGTCAAAGTCACGTGGTATGACGTAAGGGGCAATGACACTGCCGAGTCTTGCTCCAGTCATTGCAAACCCAAAGGCGAGGTTCCTTACCACAGTTGGGAACAGTTCCACGGCAAATGTATTTAGCAATGAAAGAGTTTGTTGGAGCCAGTTAGCGGTGAACAAGGCTAAACAAGTTATTGTGATTCCTCGTAAAGACCCTGATGTTGTGAAAAAAATGACAACGATAGAAACAAAACCAAGAAATACTAGAATAAAAAATATTAGCAGAGCCCTCTGTCGTCCTAGTTTGTTTCCCAGTACCGGTACTAAAAACGATAGCGGGATTGGAAATAATGAGTACAGAATGAAGTTCAAATAAAAATCGCCATAAAGAGACTGGACACCAAAGCTTAAAGTATAAAACATTGCACTTGTTAAAAAGAATGTCAGTGTCACTAGCAAGGTTCTTTTGCGCAGAGAAGCATGGAAGAGTTGAAAGAAACTGAACTTGGCAGATTTCTCTTGTCTATGGTTAGAACCTTCTGTGATATTAATCAAACTGACCTGTGTATCAGGGACCTCCATTCCATTAAAACGGCAGATTTGGGTGACCACTCTCTCGGCTTTTCGCACTCTCCCATGCACGAGTAGCCAGCGCACGCTGTCTGGCACCCAAACAGCTGTGAGTAAGGCCAGTAGCGAGAGAGCCGCTGTGGCCAGTTGTACGAGACGCCAGTCCCTCAACAGCATGACACACACGCCAAACAACAAGGTGCCCACATGCCAGGAGGGAAACCCAGACACGACAGGACGCCACTTTGGCATGACAAACTCCATGGGGTATATCTGGGATAAGGCCAGATTACCTCCCACACTGAGGCCAATGAAAAAACGGACAACAGTGAACATCTCCCAGGACGTTGTGAAGTAGACAACGGTGTTGGAAATCACGCCCAAAGCCAGAGAGCTGTACATGCTCAACTTACGGCCGTACCTGTCGCCGAAATACCCGCAGAAGTAGCTCCCTATAGCCACGCCAGACATTTGTATAGAGATAATGAAAGACAAGATCCAAGCTCGATCACAAACAAGGCTCCACTCTGTCGCTACAGTTTGAGAATCCGAATTGATTGTGACATTTCTACATCCTGAAAGCTCCGTACAAGTGTCTTGGGTGAAGTTCGCCCTTCCTAGGGTCAAGTCACCTCTGGCTCCTGGTCCAGGGGTGAGGGAAAAAGATGAAACGTTGCCGTTCAAACTAGCGTTCAATGAAACTCCGGACAGATCATAATGGCTTTGCAGAGGTCTCGACCATAGGAATGAAGACAGATTTTGGGATTTGTTTCCATCCATTGTCTCCAGATCTGAGAAATGATAGAGAAAGTAACAAAGCACATTTGTAAAGATAATATTTTAAGAAAAACCACAAGATCAGAATATGTATATAGTAGGATAAATGCATAATATACAATTGCATAGTCACATTAAAGAATTTATTGGTACTCTCTCACAACAAAGTCAAAATAACATGCCATTTATGAAAGAAAATCCTGGAATAACAAATACAAGTTCATACTGAATAATAAAATTTGACCTCCAAACCTTTTACCGGGTCTCCCGCCTTGCCCTTATTTCTCCCGAGCGAAGCAGTTAACGTGAACCCATCTAGGAAAAGTATTTCAAGAACTTGGCCAAGTAATTAAAACATGCTTCTGTTCAAAAACTAAAGTTTCGGTTCAACTAATTGAACACAAGTGTGAGCGTGTGTGAGTGTGTATGTGTTTGTGTGCGTGTGTGTGTATGTGTGTGTGTGTGTGTGTGTGTGTACGTGCGTGTGTGTCTATGCGTGTCTGTGTGTGGCTATGCATGTCTGTGTGTGGCTATGCGTGTCTGTGTGTGCGTGTGTGCTTCTGTGCGTGTGGGTATTGTGATTCGTGTTTGTGCCTGTATGTGTGTTCGTTTATGTATGCCTAGCTAGGCCCCCTTTCGATGAAAGGAATGATCGGTGCATTAACATCAACCGAAAGTCATTGGCCTACTACATTTACACTCTACTGGAATAGAGCTATAAAATGAGAGAAAAGTGACACATTATGTTTACAAGTTGCCAAATAGATGTATAGATTGATTCTCTATTCCGCTTAGGTGGTTGCACACTCTAGAATTTCAAAGGTGTAGAAAAATCAGTGCGCACGACAAGTTTACAATGGCGTCTAAGAAGACGGACTTTCCCAAGATTAGATCTAAACGAAACTAGTGACTTCAGACTCCTCAATAAAACTGCACCCTTTAAATGATTCTGAACCACCGTTAATTTTGTCGAATTCGAAAGTTAAGTGGTTCGGAAGATTTAGGCGGCCAAAGTGACGGACTTTCCCAACTATAATATATAGAGATAATGTCTAAAGTAATGCAAGCATTGCACTTAGGTCGGTTTGGGAACTTTGAACACAAGAGACAAAAATCTATTCTTTTTCTTTTCGTAGTTTTTGTCGTGTTGTTCCTATCAGGAATCCTGAAAAGCAACACAATTGTAAGCCTTGATCATAGCATATAAATGCGTTGTGGCAATGTTAAAAGGCGCATCGTGGGTAGAGCTTTGGGATGGTGTGAAAATCGAAAACTTTCAAAATTTGGACTTAAGTGGATTGCTTGCGACAGTAACGTTATACACGAGTTGTGATTGTGTGAGACAATCGTAGAATTGACATTTTCTACGCTTCATGGCAGAAACGAAATAATTTCACGCCTATACCTGGGCAAAAATAAAGAAAATAGTCATGTCATTGTGTGGGTGCAACTTTGTGTAGGGGGCACTCTCTGAAGGGAAGACTTGTGACAATCACAGGTAATATAACAACACCAGAGTTTCAAGTGGCTAAACATCTTTTTGAGAACAATATTCGTAATGGCTTTTTGTTTATGATTATGATTTGAGTGTTTTGGTTGATTTAACCCTCTGTAATTTCACTGGTTGTATGCACTTTGGAGTATTGATATTTCATAACCCCACTCCAACCCTTTTACCCCACCAAAAATATTACCTGACAATAATCAAAGACCCCCCCCAAACCCCGCCCCCTTAACCTTCATGCAGCTGACCATTCTTTAGGGTAAACGTTACCAACAACTTGTAGTGAAAATGCCTACCTGTGTGTATTAGTGTTACTGTGCGTGTTTGTATACTCGCTTCAGATGTATCTTTACAATAGAGGTCGGGTGAAGTTAACAACTTTCTATGCAGTGCTTGGAAATGGGATTTTCAATCCAGCAGCTAGGAAATCGTACACAAGAACTTTTGCTAGAGGGAGGATTCAACATTAGCTCATTTAAAGCAGAAGCCAATTTGCAAAGCGTATGATGGTAGATTTGTAACATTTATTGGCATCTGTTCGTCTTGAGAGACGACGGAGTGTAACATTGGTCACGGTTTTAAGGCTGACGCCTGCACTGCCATGGTAAGGCGCTTCGCCGTCATACGCAGAAAACTCGAGTTTGATTCCCGTGTTTTTAAAAAATATTATTTAATAGTAGAGGGTTTTACGGCGCTCGCAACTGCATAAGGTCATATGAGCGCCATTCCCGTGTGTGGAGACTTTTTATCGAGTATCTAAGTCTTTTTGCTTGGGTATTGTATCCCTATCAGGACTGGTTGTCCCTGACAGGTAGAGCGGAAACCCACCTCCTACATGATCTAATTTTTGTTGGTGGGGGAACGTAAAACGCCAATATTTAAAAACAGCCAGCACCTCTCCCTTTTGCCTTTCTTTTCGAGTTGCATGTGTCCCTATCGCTCTACGCAAAAATTCTGATCTAACCAGATCAACACCTACTGTACTTTGGATATGTAGAAAACTAAGAAGATCACCAGTACAACGATTATGGCATAACTCTATATACGCAGTCCTGCTGGAACCGAACCTTTTGGGAGCCATCTCAAGATTCAGATCTATACCTCAGCTGTGGCTGTGTAATCGGGTGTGCTATGGTCTAACGTGTAAAAATCAACAACCAAGCCTTCTTATAATAATGATTAAATATGATACAACAGCCAGCCCACATTTCTTTTAAATTGATATTTATACTGAATATTGGTGCCTGTAGTTTATCGCCAGCAGATCGACCTCTGCAGTAGTTTCAGAACAAAATATGGGATAGTGATTTGTACCAAAAACAGATAACGAAATAAACGAAATAAGTCATAAGAACTTTCAAATAATCAGGCATCCTTTCCACAGTTAACCCCCCCCCCCAAAAAAAAAATGTCTTCGGGATGTATTTCTAATCCAGACTTTTCCTTGTTCATTTTTGCAATGTCCCAAACTACTGCTCGCGTCAAGTTACAACACTTTACTCAAATTCATCGAGTTGACAGACTCGGCCTTTACTCGTGAATTCTACCTTCACTCTTTTTAAAAACAAATTTGCGTTATTAATACACAAGAATGGCTTCTTAGACTCTTTTGTGTGTGTTCCTGGGGGTGGGTGGGGGGGCGCATTGTGGTGGTATCAACAATTGAACCTCTCCTTGATGACCACCCATTGTCGAGGAGAAAAGTCGTCATCTTTGTAACAGACAGAGGGTCCTTTTGAATAGCAGCTTTACTGTAAATAAAAATAAATTCTAAAGGGGTAAAGTGGGAAGCTGTCGTTCATCAGGTGATAGTCTTCGACAGGTGGTCGTTAGAGCTTGTTCAAGTATGTTTGAATTATAAAGGACGCTGAAGCAGGCAACCAACTAACACTGTAACACGCTGATTAATTAATGTAAAAGTTATTTTTTCCTCAACTGTAGTGTTAATGCTGGTTTTTATGTTATGGTATATTTTGTCACTATTTACACTAAATCAGTTGTCCTGTTCTCTGGGGTTATCTAACATCGACTGTATGGTACTCGTCTGTCGCATGCCTTCCAGACGAAATGTGAGTTTTTGGAAGTGGGGACACTTTCAACGAAAGATTTTTTATTTGTACATGCTTTCCAACGAGGAGGCTATTTCTTTTCTTTTTTAAATTTAAAAAATGTTGTAAAAGTAAACTTGGGCACCCCTATTTTGAACTTATTTGACCTAATACACACATCAGGGGTCTCCACTTCATTGGGGCCACATCTGGGTCGCCATGACTTTATACATGAAAGACAAATTACAGAATGTCAAAATTAACTTTTACCAAAAAAGAAAGTAAAAGCCTCGTCTTTTTTTAAGCTCTGCGAGAGCACCCACCAACTCTATTCTCTTTGTTAAATTATGAACGAATAGGAAGAAAGTGCTACCTGTGCATGTCCAGCCCGGGTGGAAGCTTCCAAAGGCCATCATCATCATAGCCCAGGATCCTGCGGTTTTCACCAGGTAGGTGATGGCCGTCAACAGGACCTGGAACCTGCCACACGCCGACAGGTCAGTGACCAGCTGCTCGACGTCCATCTTCCACGTGGCTGAGACAGAATAAAGGAAATGGTTTTGGTTAAGTGTTTTGGGGTTTTTTTGTGTGTTTTTTTTTTAAGTTCACGAGGAATTGGGAGAAACTGAATGGTTCAAGGCAAGGAAAATAGAAGACATGTCAGGTTTTGGACAATTTGAATTGCGATGTGGGTTGGAAAGTATTGATGCACCTCTTCTGGCCCATCTAAGTGCCCTGAGTTAAACCATATATCACGCCTGGAAAATAAGTTTTGCTGTAGAAAACATGGGCTGTCAAGCATTTGTGAGGCAGCGTGGTGGAATCAGGCTCTCGTCAAAATAATCAAAGTGAAGAAACGTGCATTTTCCCGCAGGTTTGTGGATTTTAATCAAATTTTGTTTTTTTGCTCAATAACCTTTCATGCTCATTAAATAACTCATTTCTGTGTGGATTTTTCTTAGAAACGTTGATAAAAGGCACAAAAAATGTAAATTTTCAGTTACCACGGACTCTTAAGCTAAGGAAATAAATAAATAACTAATCTTTGGCGGCCATTTTCTCACTAATTTTACCTCTGAAAACAGGTGACCCCCACCTCCTTCATTTGCAAATATCTCGACTTGTATTCTGGAAGATGGATATTTTTTTCATCCAAATAAAGACAAATGAACAAGCTTTAAGATGATACCAATAACTCTACATGCCCAAAAACTGACGAGAGCCTGGTTCCACCATGCTGCCTCACATTTGATTTTTGTTTTCCTCAAAATGCCGAAACGTGACATCCCTTGTTTTCCCCATGTGCTTTTCCCATTTAAATGTTATCATAATAATTATTGTAATGCATTGCGCCCCCATCAACACGAATTAGATCATAATTTAGGAGGTGGACGTATTTGATCCAGGCTGAGAGGGATACAACGTCCTAAGAAACAGGTGGCGATACTCGGAAAAGAATTCCTCCCCACTCAGACATTGAATTCAGTTTTTCTGCGTGCAACGTTGAAGAGCCTAACCGTTGTACAACATGTGCTGATGACAGGATGGAAAATGTGAGCCATATATTAAGGATGGAATGTTTATTCTAAACTTAAAAGCAGTTTAATGCGATTTTGAGCTCTTCTGTCCTTACAGTTTACTATGGTCCAGTTATTTTATCGGCTATAGGGCACGGACGGAAGCTTTCAAAATGACGTTTGATAGAGTTAAACGAGAAACGACAAGACAAAGTCATAAACAGTTCACTCCTCTTTTTCACTGAACCTTTCAATATCAATATTGTTGAAAGCAGCATAGGAGATCATTGCTGATATCAAATATCAATAAAATTCAGAATACTAGACATAACCTGTAAAATGTAAACGTTTAATTTTTCTTTCAAAGCGAAAACCAAAAGTTATAAAAATCCATTCACACCATTATCAGAACGAGCTGTCTAGTCATTGTCATTTGCGTGAGAATAACATATCGTCGGCAGAGAATTCTAACCGTCTAACTCCAAATTTTCTCGAATTGTTTTTTTCCTTAAAATAGATCGACATGACGAATGGCTAC